TTTTTTTTTTTTTTTTTTTGTAACTCCTTGGAGCCGGTTGACCAAACAGCTGTGAGCACACCGCAGACAATGGTTAGCAAAGACAAACATGGCGGACGCTGTTGACAGGTGAGAGGTAAATGAACACCACACAACATGCAACACATCGTAGAAAAGGGATGAGGATGGTCTTTGGGAGCTAAAACCTCTGCTGGGGGAAAAAAATAAAAATAATTAAACATACTGGTTATGTGAAAGTCAGGTTGTTTCCCCACATTAGCTCTCTGAAATATCTGATCTTTGATTTGTGAAGTGAAACTGTTTTAAAGCTTGTTTTGGTTGAATCGAAGCTGAAGCAGCTGACGTCACTTGAAGTAGCAGACAAGAGCCGGCGGGCCAAGCGGTCCAAGTATTTTTATTTCTTTTTTTTTTTTTTTAATCAGCCAGGCTACCTTCCTTACCCTCTCTTAGGAGTGGGAAATACTGTCATTAATCTTCTTTTCAGCTGGAAAAGAAGAGTGGTGGTTTAGGAAAGAAGAGTCACATGTTAGGAAGAAAACCAACACCAAACAAGTTAGTCTCATAGAACAAGAAACTTGATGATATATTTAAAAAAAACAGCATTTTAGCCAAACCTCTTCTGTTTAACTCAGAACAGAGTCATAAACACAGCCGTTTTTTTGCACCATGCATGGAAATATGGCTGCGCTACGAGTGTGTCGACATGTTTTTTTTTAAAACACGCAAAAAAAAAAAACATGTTGACAATCTCTGCAGCTTCTTTTTTCACTGAGGCCAGGCAAAGAGGTTTGGCTGCCTCCTGTCGAATAAAGAAAATAAAAAAAGTACAACAATCAGAGACGGCCCAGGGTTAGTTGGCAGTTTGTGGTCGGGGTTGGGTGGAGGGTGTCAGCAGGGATCATGCTGCATGCACAGTGAGTGGGGGGAGGGGGGGGGTACACGGGAGACACCTGGACAACCTTGGCATTACAGAGTGGGAGGGCTAGCAGTTGGCGTCTTCGCAGAGGTTGGCTTCACAGAAGAACCGTGAGCCGCGTTTAGCAGTGCGGGCTGTGAAGGGCACGCTCTTCAGTACTGGGCGGGAGGAGGAAGAGGAGGAGGAAGAGGAGGAGGAGGAGGGAGAAAAAAAAACACATGTCACACCTGAGACACAAAACTGTCATTTTAGGGAGGGGCTATATCTTAGTCAGGAGGCTGTAAATAAACCTGAAAAAAAAAAAACTGGAACTCCCTGAGATCTCAGGAGGAACTCTTGTAAGAAGTGATTTAATTATTTATTTATTTTAGTGGGATTAGGACACACTCAGCATGTCCAGGGATTAAAAGCCGTCCGCACGTGCTGCTGGACACACGAGATAAAGTTAATCCATTTACACAGTAAATTATTGTAGATTAGCACCAAACATCTGTTCGCTCTGCTGAGGCTGGAGAGACAACTTGAAGGCTTAAATGGGATTAAAAAAATAAACATTTAAGGATTTGAAATGTGCATCTAAAGTAGAATGTACTAGAACTTTTTTCTGCTTCAACACATTTGCTTTGAATAAACAGGTGAGAAATGTGCCTCTGTAAAGCTGAGGACATAAAAAGAGGAAATTTGACCACTRTTATCAGGTGTGTTGAAACAGAGAAAACAACTAAAACATGCAGGACAGAGACCCTCCAGTCTACCATTTATCCTTACCCACTTTTTTTTTTCAGGAAGTCATATTAAGACACAGAAGTCAGTGCCTCACCACCAGTGGTGTCTCAGTACAGAAACCAGTATCAGTATCTGGACGCCCGCTCGATACCAGCATTTTTACAAGTATGCCCCGATACTCAGGACTGATGCCAATATTAGTTATTATTTTTATTTTATTTATTAACCTTTATTTAACCAGGCAAGTCCCATTGAGATGACAGATCTCTTTTTAAAAGGGAGGCCTGGGCCTGAAGGGAACCTACTCTACATGTTTAGGGTCTGTGGGAAGAAACTAGAGTAGCACCAAGCACGGGGAGAACATGTAAATTCCACACAGAAAGACCCCGGGTCCACACCTGGACCTTCTTGCTGTGAGGCATCAGTGCTAAACCACTGAGCCACCGTGATGTGTTATTGTGTTTATCATGCTGTAGATTTGATTTGATCCAGTCAGACGGGCTGTAGGCCGAAAAGGAAGGAGAGACATCTTGTTCCAGAAAAAAAAGGAATGTGTTTGTAACGTAAACTGAAGTACTTGTACACGGTTTGAGAAAAACTGGTATCAGGACCCCCATTCACGACTTCATTTTAAACAAAGTGCTCTTGCATTCAAAAAGGTGAATGCAAAAACCTTAATACTGCCGCCGCTACGTGCCATGCTCCGGATGTGCCGGAGTCTGCACCACGTAGCACAGGGTGCACTTCAAAGGAGCAGAGCAGTCGAGGACCACAGTCATCTGCAGCCCGGGARCGCCGAGGCTGCTGGCGCCCCCGCGGGCCCCTTTAACGGTCCTTTCTGGCCCACCTGTGATGATGTCCTCAATCGTCCCGTCTTTGCCCTCGTAAACGGGTCGGTGGTCTTTGGCTTGTCGCTTTCGCAGCTCTGCGATCAGCTCCTGCTGCTGCTGCCTCTTCTTGTGGGCCTGGACCTGCAGGGGAGGAGACGTGCAGCTTTCAGCGGGCTCTTTGGCTCCGACGTCGGGGTGTCGTTTAGCTCAGAGGAAAACACGAGAGACCGTACCTTTGGGTCGTGCTGTTTYGCCTCCTGAGCCAGTAACTTTTCTCTCATGGCTTCCTCTTGCTTTTTCCTCAGCTCGTTTTCCTCCACTGCATCCTGTTGAGAGAGGAGGCGAACAGTCTCTAACTGCAGCTCAAACAAATCCAAGTCAACAAAACGTGTGTGGCCTCTTTGGACACACGGAAAAAAGGTCAAAAGTTCAACCCAAACAGGAAACACGTGCTTTGATAAACAAAACTACTTAATTAAATTGTACTTCGTTTTCTTCAGTTGGAAGAGATATCTCAASAAAATGTAGAGAGTGGGCGGGGACACTCTGCCTTTCAATTCCCACGCTAAAAAAAAAACTCCAGCAACTCAGCAAAAATGCCCAAACCCAGAGGAGGCCATCTCTCCAGGCTGCAGGTCACGTTTGTGGCGAGCGCGCAGTCGTTTGGATCAACCAGCAGCCTACACAAGCAGCTGTGTGTGGGCGACAACATTCAGCAACTGCACCTTGTTAGGAGTTTTATGATCTCGTAACACACAGCGGTGACTCAGATGTTCAACCAGCAACCTGTCAGGAGACGTTTGTCCTTATAGAGACTTTTTGACAAACACACTTTCTAGAAGATTCTGTGGGACAAAAACCGTCCATTTTTTTCAAGTTTTTCATCAAGGAGGTGAAAACTTTTTTTTTTTACGTTAGTTCTGTTTGCTCTTTGAAACAGACGTGAATAAAAAGTCAAGAAAAAAAAGGTTTTGATCAGTCCAAGTCCATATAACCAGGAAAGAMAAGGGAAAATCGGCTCTAAACAAAGATTTGTGTATCTTTATATAATAAATCAATGAGTAAATGCATGCTGTCCAATATCTTTAATGTCAAATTTATAAATAAAAATCTCACAGAATCGGTTAGTGATTAATCTGTGTCTGGTTTATTCTTTGGATTTTACATTTCAAAATAAAATGAGAAAAAAATAATCTGGTAGTTAATTTTTTTGTTTTAAAACTAGATCAGAAAAATGAAAAATTATGAAGTATAAAATTGAAAAAGGCTACCTTTATCTTAAATTTTAATTCAGATTTTATTGGTTAAAGCAAAGACAACCTTTATATTTTGTTAGCGTACCATTTGTTACTTTCTGGCAGAATCTTAAATCCTCCTGGCCTGAACACCAGGGGCCTCATGCATAAARGAGTGCACAGCTTTCACAATAAAAGTTGGCGTATGGACAAATTTAGAAAATTAGGTTMTTTGATCAGTTTTAGGCTGATCTATTTTCTTGTCTGAGGTTAAACTATTTTCAGTCTCGGGGTTCAGTTTCATTATTCATTCGAGTTTAAACAATAAAACCCAAACTAAAAAAAAATCTAACACTGTGTTCAGACGCTCCTTACATCCAGAAAACACAACAGAGTCATATTTCTGTGGATTCAGGTCAGGTTCGTGACTTTGTGGGTTAAAAGTGTCGACTGAAAAACTTTGCGTGGCTGCCACACATTCTCACGGCAGGTGAAAAATATACGCAGACTTTCACACAATGTTGATACATCCAAACATGGGCATAGAACCTGGCGCACGCAACTTTTTTATGCGTACGCACCGTTTAAATATGAGGCCCTGGACCCTTAGGTTTTTATTTAGCACTTTCGAAACGGCCTYATTTAAAAGGCGTCGATGCATCTTGTAAGCTAATTTACTGTGATCAAAATTGCTTTAATATTCCAGGTTACGCAGAATAGAGTGCATAGAGTTAGAGTGCTCTGCCAAAATCTTTAAGCAGTCTCCTTCCAGCCACTATAAACTCTTCTTCTTTGGTGACCTCCATCATTTCCAGCGTTGATTAGCTGTGGCAGCCATAATGAATCGAGCTGACTCCAAAAGATAATCTGCTGTAAAAAAGGCAACGAATCGTGACCAGATCAGTTTTATGTCACTATCCCTTCAAATTTCAGAAACACACTCCACACGACACCTGCACCCAGAAATCTTTGCGGCGTACATTTCCTTGAGCAGAGGCCATAAATCCAGGCGCAGAACAATCTCAGGAAGTGTGTTGTGCAGCAGGGCAGGGCGCGGCCGTCCGGACCTAGAGGGTAGGAGGTAGACAGGGAACGGGGATGTTGGAGGGGGGGAGCCTAAACAGCGCAGCTGCAGCCCTAGAGTCAGACCCCAGCTGGCCTTTCCTGTTATTTGCCTTCAGACCTGAACACACCACGTCCTGTGCTTAAAGCAGGACTCAGCTCGGAGCGGGGAACCTCCCATTCGCCCGCCGTCAACACACAGGCGAGGCGCTGCTCTCACCTTGTAGGCCTTGATGAAGCGCACAAACACGGGGAAGAAGACGGACGGCGGGGTCGTCTTGGCGCTCTCTCCGAAGTAGCTCACCACGCTGTTGAAGGCTTCCTAAAAAACAAGGCGGCAGCGAGCGCAGTGTGAGAGAAATCAAGCAGATGAAGGTGCTTTCACAGCTACTTTTGCTTTTTTTTTTTTTCCATAAATTGAGGTTTTAGTGAGGTGAGGACAGTGCAGGATACCTCTGCTGCCTTCGCGTCTCTCTGCAGCGTGTCCAGCTGTGGGTCACTACTCTGGACGAAACCTTTCAGCACGGGGTGATCGTGRAGGCTGCACTCCCTCCGGATCAGCTCCATGCCTTTGCCCAGCTCCCGAACGTCAAGCAGAACGTTTTCCAGAGATACTKCATGCACATCCAGAAGGAAAACAAATAAAAATAAACAAAACAGAAAAACAAAATAYATTTGGTGCAAACAGGGGCAGACCTAGACTTTTTTTGCAAGGGGTGGTACAGGGGTGGTCATGGTGCCATTTAGTGGGGCACAWATAAAGAAAACTACCCTCTATTTGAAAATTCAAGATAGCCACTGCCAGTTTCAAATAGCTGTAATTCAGCTGTTTTAAGATACATTGARCTGATATTTTGTGTGATAGTAGCTAAGAATGTCCCAGAAACGTTGAATGCTAATGACAGTTTCAAGCTAACCGCTACAAAAGGCTATAACAGCCTTTTAGACCAGGGGTTCTCAAACCGTTTGGGTCTGGGGACCCCTTACAAGGGCGAAAAAATTCCAGGGACCCCCTTACAA